ATAGACTCCGGTTGAGATTGCCGGATTAGCAAATTACCCAATGTGACCGAATTGGTATCCTAATGTTGCGGTGATTCGAATTAGTGTTAGAAATTGACGCCAAAAAGTGGTTGAAATGAGATTGCATAATGATACAGCGATTTCGAAGAACCGCCGTAAGGTCATTGAGTAAGCGACCGGAGGTGATGGCTTTGTAAGTAGTTACCTTTTTATTCAACACGAGTCGATTTTAGAATGATTGAACTCAATCAGAATGCACAAGAAAGAAATAGTCAGGAAATCGATACCGCAGAAAGATCACACTTTGCAAGCATGAAGTAAGTGTTAGGGAGCCAGCTCAAGGAAGTTTTTCAAGCCTGTTTCCATGTCGATAGCCTCAGTAAATACTCAGACCAATATAAGTTGTAGCTAAATGACGAGGATCCAGACGGTAAGAACGTTATCTAGTTGAAGTCGGCTAGTGACAACACTATGGCTTGGAGCCAGCACACGAGAGTGTTTAACACGCAGTCGATAGTTTATAGTAGCACAGGAAGTTTCTCCCGGTGATTTCTAATTTTACGCAGCTTTGTCATTTAATAGTAAAATTACTGCATTTTCCAGGGCATTTGTTCCCTGGAATGGGAAGTGGCTGGTCCAGGATGCAAAATAACTGTGTCGATTATTCGTGTTGTCAGCGGAAACAATAAAACGCTTGCATTGGTGATGTGTGCAACGGCATAAACAAAAGGCAGATCCGGAATTTAGAAAGCAAGGGACGACAAGGTTGCGCTCCGAAAACCTGGCTTGTAAACGCACAAAATAGTAAGTGAACGTGGCTGTATACGTTAAGATGATAGAGCAAACTTTGAATCCAGCAGTAAACTAAACAAATGATTAATCGTGTATCATCAGACACAAATGCAGCAGCCGCTGGAATCCAGGAAATTTCAGCTAGGTCTTGCTCCTATGAATTACGTATTTTGACCCAATTCCGGCCATAGTGCGTTGTCGGAAGCTCAATCGTGGCCTTGCCAAAGGTCTTTGTCATCTAATAGGCTAAGTGGGTCGGTCCAGATTGCGCAATAGCAGCAGGTTATCCGTGCGGTCAGCGGAAGTCACAAGTAGGTAGTACCAAATATCAAAAAAGCGAACAACGGCATGCCTTTGGAGAAGAAAGTATTGTTGCTTAAGTTATCTGAATAAGTCTATCGCAATGGGGCTGGACTTTACCTTCTTGCGATGGTTTGCGTGCTTCAGAAATCCATTGAGCTATCACAGGTGGTGCTTTCTTGCACCTTCAGAGCCCCTCATACCAGTCAGATTGGTCAATGGTCAGAGGCCAGACAAACTCAGCTTCCTGCTTCTCCAGGTTAAGAGTTGGAATGAGGGTGACCCCTTATTCCTTAAAACGGACTTCTTGTAGCCCAACGCCAAACCCGCCGCCTTGCGGTCACGTTCTTGTACCAAAGGCTTTGGTTAAAAACCCTAATCGTTCTCTAGTCTAGGTCTGGACAACCTGACAGTATCCTGCCAAAGCAATACTACGAAATTCTCTCCAACCAATTTCCTGATGCTCTGGCCGTCGCAGAGGATAATAAACGGCGCCCTACCTGCTAAATGGAGCAGAGTGGATAGGCGTTTGGATGCTACTGCTCAAGCCTTTCCGTCTTCTTATTCACCCTCTTACGCTTTTTCACATTTATTGTCTCCTTTCAACTTCACTTTTATCCTCCAGTTTTCAACCACCTAATGCTCGGTCTTCCCTAACATACTTTGCTAGGCGCTTCTAGTTTGAATTCACATACAAACGCGGAGCGTCACTACTGTCCTGTTGACAAGTCCATGTTCAACCATTCGGTCCACTCTACTTCGTCGACTACCATTTGGAGCTCTCGATCATCCTTCAGATTGGTATGCTTCAATGTTCGCACATTGCTACAGACCGTATTTAGCCGAACATTAGAGACCCTATCCATCGATAGTTGTTGCCTATCGGAGACCCGCCTGCAAGACTCGAGCTCTTTGCTCACTTTGCGATCCCCTTCAGGTGACGCAAGCAGTATTTTCTCCTTTCGCCTATCCGGTGACGATGCAGCTTCGAGCACCGGCCAAGCTGGTGTTGGTATTGCCCTGAGTCCCCGGGCTGAAACTGCTCTGGTTGATTGGATTCCAATCAGTAACCGGATGTGTGCGGTCCGATTGGCTGGCTCATTCAAAACTTCGAAGTCGCGTGGGACCAACAGGTGTCTATTCGTTATCGCTGCCTATGTACCGACAAACTGTAGCGATGACTCAGTAAAAGACGACTTCTATCGTCAACTGAACGAGTTCCTTAGCCATAGAAGAAGCTCGGAAACGGTAGTGCTGACCGGGGATCTGAACGCTCAAGTTGGAAAATTATCCACAGATGAACTGCATCTCGGCGGCCAACATCGTGTGGGCTCCCGCAATGATAACGGTGAGCGGTTATTTCATTTGTGCGAGGATGCTCCCTTATTTCTTGCGAGCACTAATTTCAGACACAGCACCCGCCGGAGGGTGACTTGGCGCCCACCAGCCTCAAAACCAGCTATGGATGCAAATCGATCACATTGCAATCAGTTACCAATGGAGAGGCTGCGGGTTGAGTAAGTGCTCACTGGAGACAATTGAAGGTCTTTGTTCGCACGTTCACAATACCTTACTAGCAGCAGGCAAATCCTCATGTGGTAAGTCTGATGGTCAACACGGACATTGGGTCTCTTCGCAGTCTCTGGAACTAATCGATGTTTGCCGGCACAGTCCAGCTGTAAGCGAACACAATGAAACTTGCAAAGATCGTGGGGAAAAAAATCGGTGTTAGCCTGAAGAGAGACCGTGAATTCTGGTGGTCTCATCGTGCATCAGAGATGGAAATGGCCGCCCTTGGTAACCATTGAAAGTTATTCCCTCTGATACGGGAAACCGGCAGCAGGAGACCTGGTGTTAGTAAAAACAATTTGTGACGAGAGTGGACAGATTATCTACAACTTGTCAAAATGTTTGGAAGGCTGGAATGGGCATTTTGAAAAGCAACTAATTAGGGCGGAATTGCTAGATTTCCCACCGGCCTGTGATCGCCCTGCTCCCTATGGATCAATCTTCTCGATTACAAATCAGACGTGAGCTCAGACTGTTGAAGTTGAACAAAGCCGCTGGACCAGATGATCTTCATTCAGCCCTTTTCAAATTCGGGGGACCTGCTCTTGTGGATAATTTACACGAATTACTGGTGAAACTGTGGGAGCAAGAAACTGTCCCAACCGACTGGAGTCGCTCCGTTATTGTTCCCATCTTTAAAGGAATCTCGCACTAGAAATGTGGCAACCATAGAGGAATCAGTCTGATCTCCATCGCCTCCAAATTACTCGTCTCCATAATCCTTCACAGACTGACTGACGCTCGTGAAAGCCATATTCGTGAAGCGCAAGCCGGGTTTCGTCGTGGTCGTGGCTGCGTTGACCACATCTTCATCCTGCGTCAGTTGTTGGAGCAGCGTCACACATATTGGCGGCCCACCCTTGTCGTGTTCCTCGACATCAGAGGTGCCTTCGATTCGGTTGCTCGATGTGCCCTTTGGGACTGCCTAATCAGGAAAGGTGTGCCCAAGAAATATGGAAATATTATCCGAGCATTATCCGCGCGTAGCACGAGCAGAGTGAAGGCTTACGACAAGCTGTCGCCGCCTTTTAATATCGCCAGCGGTGTGAGACAGATGCCCGCTGTCACCATTCCTCTACAACTTCGCTATTGACGAAGTCATGGAGATTGAATTTACAAGACACGACAAGGTATGGAGCTACTACCAGGAGAACGACTTGATTTGGAGTATGCTGACGACATTTCCCTTATCTGTGACAGCTCCCAGACGTGCCAAGCGGCACTGAACAGATTAGCACTAGCTGTCCGTCACTTCGGGCTTTGCTTCGCACCCTCGAAATGCAAAGCTTTCCTCCAAGATTGGCAGAGATCGCCTCCTGCACTGACCCTTGTTGAGGATCGGCTAAAAGTCGTTCGAATATTCAACTACCTGGGAAGTTGTGTCAGCGCCCGTCGGATTGAAGATGAGATAACGAACCGTATAGCAAAAGCTCGAGGTGCTTTTGCTAGTATTCGCCATTTATGACAGCTGCGCCACATTACTCTTGCCCTGGGGAATAGAGTGTTCAATACAGCGGTACGCTGGACCTTCCTGTACGGTTGAGAAACCAAGCCTCTTAGATCAGCAGACATAAAGAGGCTAGTTACGTTCGACCACCGGTGCCTTGGCAATTTAACTCACATCCGGTGGGAACACCGCGTGAGCAACGAGCGTGTTCGACGCCTTGTTTATGGAACAAGAAAAGGAACTGAACCGCTCAGCACCGTCATTTGACGCACTAGGCTCCGATAGATGGGCCATCCGCTACGCATGCCAGCCCATCGGCTCTAGCGACATGCGTTGTTTGCTCGCCGGGGGTGTGAATGGAAGAAGAGAGCTGGCCAAGCGATGACTTGGTCGAGATGAATGAAGACCCTTACTACTGAGCTGGCCTCGGTTGGAGCTTAACGGCCCCCTGGTTAAAATCCAAAAAAATTATGAACACGTTTGGCTAGATAGACTTGTTGACATGGTGAGTAGCTGGTCACAACTGCGTTCCTGCTGTGAGTTTCGTCGTTCCTCACCACCCCCTTTTATCCTCCCCCTGCAACGACCATCCCAGTTCGTAGCATAATCTAATTTTACACAATATTCTTTGTTGCCTAGTAGCCGGCTGGTAGCTCAGCTGGCATGTAACTGTTGTATTTGTTTTCGTTATTTTATGTATTTTGGCACAGTAGCTGAGGTGTTTTACTCCTCTAGACAACGTGTATAATGATGGATGATGATATATGAATGAATGGGTAGAGGGTCTGACTGTGAGCTCTATCAAAAAGAGCATGGCATTACGCATGGCAGCAGGTTAATAAAGCAGTTATTTTTCAATAAACTGTTATTTCATCAAATACAGCTAACTCACTTGAAGATCGAAATCGATCTTCTCCACTTCGATCGTTAGATTAGTGCGAACCTGTTTCGTTTGCACGCTCCCGGTAGCAGATTCATTTTGCACCTTGCGAACTGTTGAGCACCGAAGTTTATCACCCAATTGTATCAAATTATAGGTCAGCCACATATCCTCTTCGTTTTCTGCTACCAAGGTGATATGGCCAGATGAATACTTATCCAAGTCCCGATGAATAACTTTCATGGCTATAAGATACAAGGCTAAATGAAAGAAAAATTGCAGTTACTAAAATAATGGATGAAGTTTTGCAATATTACGTTGAAAATTCTGTTTCAAGTGCACCAGTCAATGTGGAGAGAGAAAACATGCATACTAGAAGTGAGGGTCAAGTTATGGATAACATGATAGATTAGGTAAGCTCGGCGTGGCCAAGGGACGTTTGCAGCAGGCGTGACAACTAGCCAGACTAATCGGTACAAGATAACCTTCTGAGTGCCAGTCTTAGCATACCAAAATTATGATTGTCCGAGAAGACTTTCAGTAGCAAATATCGTACAGGTGGTTACACGTAGAATCGACCTGAAATAAACAGGCAATATAACCGAGGGAAAAAGTTAAGTTAGTGTAACGACTTTAGATTACAGTTGAGTTGTTACACTTGGTTGTATGCGTGCGATGACGCCCCAGCGAGTTGGTGTCCAATATGAAGATTTTTACTAATATTTAGGTCATCTCAGTGGCAATAATAAGTGCGCGAAACCAAATACAATTGTGAGAAATCAAGTGTGATTGCTGAAAAATGTGCTTCCACTAACAGCAGTCAATATGCTCCGATGACTGAAAGAACAGAAGAATGGAACACTTTCAAACTTGAGTAGCTGACGCTGTTCACATAGATCAGTCTCACCTATCCGCAAAAGTAGCAGCACCGTCAGAATAAGCACATACCATGTACATGAGACTATACCTTTTCTAAGCCAATTGAATCTATAGCGCTTTTTAATTCTCCCTTAAGGAAATCATATGTCTTCATAGATCTCACAAGATGGTCAATAACGCTTTCAAGTTGAATACAACGGACGTAAACACTCCTAATAATTACGTGCTGTTTGCTAATTGGCAAATCTTAAATTATAATTGTGATGTTTTCGTACCAGCTGCTCACAAGCTACATAGCACAGCGTAGTCTTGGAAAGCACCAGACGTGTTTCGCCCTATTGAGGCTCGTCAGTGGTGCGCATTCCCTCGGTCCCCTACTGGGGATCGAACTCATGATCGCTAGAGGCAGATGTCAACTAGCCAGCAGCTTAAGCCACTAAGCCATGGGTTACGTCGTCTGGGTTACACAATTTGCAAGCTAACTGGGATATAGCACGACCTATTTTCCACTGCCACGCAGGTTACTAAATTAGCCACTGTCACCTGTTAAGAACACAATTAAAAGAAGACTAACAATGCTAAATGGTGATGAAACTAGTCGTGGATCTCACGTTTATAATTTTAAAAGCAGTAAAAATAAGAAGCCAAGAGATAAAAACAGACCTACAAAAATGAAGCAAATATGACAGAAATGCAGATAAAAATTAGTGGCCTTAAGCAAAGAACGAAAGGTAAAAGTGCAATGGTTTCTCGACCGCAATGTGTCAACTGCTCTAGGTCAAGTGGTACATGTTCTAGTATGTGACACGCGACGCGATTATGTTTCTCCGCCTATATTTCCATACATTTTTGAGACCTCATCATCTGGCTACCATCGTACTACAGCCGTGCAGATTTTCGGTAAACGGTACACAACGAAAACACCAAATAGGTAAATAAAAATGAACAGTTATTGGCTTGGGTGGTGCGGGAAAATCAGACGGAGTGAAACTGTGCGAGTGTCCGCTAACCGACACAAGGAAAACTCGCTCCAGGAGATCCCTCAAAGTGAATCAAGTTGCTTAAACGTCAGAGTTAACATTCAAAAAACACAAAATGAATGTGCACGACAAAGCACTTGTGCGGTGGAGTTTACATTAAACTGTAGACATTAAAGGCTTCTAATTAAGATGGTGCACTTGGACTGAACGGGCTAGCTTCAAGGAGCTGTGCCAACGACTATAAAAAGTCCTAAGTAACCATAAAACCCCGCTACAATAATGGATAGTTTGAAGACTCCAACGACAGCCATTCACTTGTATTGAATGGCCCCAAACACCATAGTCCCACAAAATAAAGATCGCCGATCCCTTATCAACAGACGCAAACTCCTTGGACAAAGTGACAGTTTCGAATTTGCTTGTCACTGTGGCCAGCCGCAGGACATCTGCGCCTACAGAGGGACCATGTGTGGCTTGCGCAGCACCACCCACAGCTCCATTCACACATCCCATATCCATTGTAAACCCGAAGGAATAAGATCGGGAGGTATGTGGATGGAAGCCACGTTTCATTAACGGAGCCGGCCCATACTCCTTCACAGGCAAACACAAGCACACTGTATTTGGGAAACAAGCGCATACAAGCCGGTGACGGGACCGTAGTTCGCTCCACACTGAGTGCATGGAACCATTCTGATTCTAACACGTCCACAAGGACCGTGCACCCGTCCCCTCCAGCAACGACTAACTGTCTCCTAAAGTCAGTATGGACGAGGTAGTGAGTATTAGACAGGTAGGCACCTTGTCAACATGCACATCAAGAGCAGCCACACAGGGGATTTCAAGCAACAGCCAATCACTTGAGTGAAAGATAACAAAGAAAACAAATCGAGTAATGCATAAGGAAACGGTGATATAAATCTTAAATTAATGGGCATATGCAATACGTTGTTTACAAAAGAATCCTACAAGTCAATGCCAATTGGTAGGTCCGTTCGTCATGATATTGTTGAACTGCAAACTGCGAATTCAAGCTAGAAGATAGGCGCTTATTTGTAGCGGAGAGTGAGAACCAGGTGCACGCGCACTAAAGCATGGTCGGAGTCTAGACACGTGCTCCAAATTGGTCGAATTACTTGGACGGATGTGCGCCATCTGTAGCTGATGGCAATAGGGTCAAGTTATGTCCAGGTCATTGAGGAACTCGGTGAACGCCAGATGACGCGGTGTGAACGTTTGTGCTGGAAAGCAGTGCTGCTAATAAATACATAACTAAAGGATTTAGTCTCGACAACACGATGCACGGCTTTACAGACATGATCATGATAAAATAACAAGTGATCCAAAATGTACAAACACATCTTGTTTACCATAACAGTGAATGTAGGTGGATGAGTGTACATACGTATGCAAATGTATATACGTGTATAGCTCATGGTTGTAAATATGCCGCTACATTTGTGACTGTTTGATCGCGTTGGCAATGGGAGAGTAGACGATTGCTGTCCGTGGGTTGGATATGATTATCCGGATATTCACGGGGCAGTGAATTTAGTTAGTGTCGAGTCACAACCGCCAGGTCGCAGTGTTGATAAGCAGACATGTGGCTTTTTATAGGGCGAACGCTCGCCAGGCGAAAACCCACTACGTCATGCAATATTACCGCCGAACTGTTTGCTGGAACGGGGTAAACCCAAACCACCCAGCGGGCACCATGAAAAGGTTGTTCGGCTAGCCAGCAGAAGTCAAGCAGCACTGTATGTTCGGCGCGTATTGATCCCGAGGTGGCCTCGCAGGTGTTGGTAAGAGTCTGAAATGTGACTCACTTGGGCATACATGTCATCAGCAGAAATCATGATACCAGTATCATCGCCATGTGAAAATAAGAGCTAACGACAGAAGTGGTCTTTAGCACTTTGCCTTGCAGTCAGTATGTGCATAAAAGGAGCTGATGAAAAGGCGCCTTGCCTTCAGACGGTACTTATTAACGCAAAAGAAGCTCGAAAAGGGATTGCACATCTGCGAATGTTCACTGATCTCCCATCGAGTAGATTGCCTTCAGCATGTTTGCTGAGGGGGTTAGCGACACCGTAAATACCTACAGCCATGGAATCTGTATCGTCAGGGACGCGAAGAGTATAGTCATTGTAAGCAGATTCTGAACCAGGGAATTAAATATTCGTCACGATGATATTAGCTTACGGAGCACACATCAATAACAAGAGTGAACAGTGAGAGTTAGTGTTGCCTGTTGGCCGAACAGACTCTTCGTGCGGACGTTAGAGGAAACAATGTGAATTGAGACCAGCCGTTTTGAGGAAGGATTTATAGTAGCGATCGTAGCAGCCGTGAGGTCAACGAGAGTCTCTTGCCCCACAGACGAGGTAGAGAATTGAGAGGGCAGAAAAAGAAGATGGGCTGGAGGAAGCTTTGCTTAAAGGACTACATCGGAGCTTTTGGCTCAATAGCCTGAACTACAAAACAGTGGAGAGCAAATCCAGACCGGGAGTGTGATTGCACAGACCCAATGAAATCTGCTTGAGATCGGTTAAACGCAATCTTCGAACATGTGGAATAACTCAGGTGTGTTTTCCGACTGCAGTACGTTAAGCACCTGCGACTAAGGCCAGTTGCAATAAAAGTTAGCGGGTTTACACCAATTTGACCAGAGGCTGTCTGGCTTGAGAAGGGCACGAACAAACTAACGAGAAACGCGCGATGGTATTCCACTCTCAGAAACAATGCGTTGATCATGAACTCTACGCCAATCGAGCTGTGACCTCATAATCCTTATGCCTGTTGTCTCCCATGATTAGGTTTTAAGAGAATAGGGTCATCGACCTTTTCATAACCTCCCAAGGGAATTATGGGATTGAGTTAACCTGATACCAAACCGTTGACCGGTATGGCATGAGTGTCTCTGAATGCAATTGGAAGATGGGACTCAGCATAGCTCAATGGGTCACGGAGGTATGCAGACTATCGCACCACATCAAGGCCCAGTCTCATCATGATGCCGACCCCAAACTTTTGCGAACGCACCAGAAAATGTGATCTTAGTGTAGTGCCCAGTGGATGGGACTATTCCACCGCCCACAATAGCCTACTCACTTAAGCGAACATTTCGAGCCCAAAGCTATAAAAGCCATAAAGACACATATGCATGCCAACCAAGTGTTCAGTTAATGAAAACAATGTTAGCTAGTGTTATCAATGGCGTCTTGATGCTTGACTAAAGCACCAAGTCCGCGTAGATCCAGGAGATTACGCGGTATACTCAGCTCATGCGCGACCGGTGGCAACCGCATCGCAGTTAACCGTCGGTACGATGAGCCGGCTGATACTGAGACTTCACTAACAGGAAGATACGACGGTCGGTGACTTGAATGTATGCTATC